CCTCACATCGGTCCCTCCAACTATTCAATGTGGGATTCTAGCTATTTATTATAGTGGAGGTAATGTACAGTATCAGAAGGTATAATTTTTGTATACTGAAAATATATTTCCGATAGGTACTTACCTCCTTTCGTCCTTCCTCTTCACTGTAAATTGGTGCTTCCATTTTCTGCCCAAACTCAAAGTGATGGTTTGGTAGAATTGAATAGAGGGAGTCACATGCATCAGGAAAGTGTGTCGCACTCTTATTGGTGGAAGGTTGATTTTAAGGTACATGGGAGCTCAAGGCTTGTGGCATGTAAAAAAAAAAATTCGTATACCTATATATGTGCAGTTTTCACATAAAATATAATCAAGTAAGTCATTATTTTGCTTTCACTCTAGCTGTCTTTTGTTCTCTGTCATTCCCTTAAGATAACACCTAGTCTGTCCATGGGATGTATAACTGTAAAGTTGAAACTAGTGTATGGAAGTCAACAGCAGTTTCATCCAATGGTAGGTCAGGCAATATATCAAATTTACAATCTCTCTCATTTTCAAGTGTGAATGAAAAATCACGTTGGTAGTGTTAGTAACTCTGTGTAGGCCGCATCATTAATGAGTTAACTAAATAAAATGGATTTTAGTCCCTCTCACACAGGATTTAAAGTGAGTTAGTCAGCCTGGAATGAATATGAAGAGAGTAATATGCTAATCTGATCAATCTACCTCATTATTAAAGGCAATTCTTCATTGTCCAAAGGTAAACTACACATTGTTTCTTTATGTCTTACAAAATTGTGTCCAGTCAATTAATTTCTTTGCATAGACTCAGTTAGTTATGATAAAACTCAGAATTGCTTTGTAATATATCTTGTTGAATCCCCCATTATACATACCATTATACCTATCTTATTCAGTCTTGGAAAAAAATCAGTTTGATCTGAAAATACTACACATACATGATTTTGGGTTCAACAAATGTTATATCATTAAGCATCAAGAAAAGATTGGAAAATGTTCTGCAGTTGTTAAATCACTTCAGTAGGCTTGTGTCCGTTCTTTTAACTCAAGTATTGTCAATGAGAAATGACCATTTTTTATATAATACTTAAATAAGTAAGCAAAAGGAAACCTAGTCAGAAATATCAAAATCATTTATTTATTGTACATAATATGTAGAAGAAACTTATCAGTAAGTCTAGAAAAATAGGGCCAGCATGTCAAACAATTTTAGTAATACACCATTGAATTGTTTTCATTGTTCAATGAAAACAAAAAACACTTGACTAGTGAACACAACAATAGAAAATAACACTGGATATAAGTGATTTTGTACTACATATACACCAGTGAAAGACAGCACTAGACAAGCAAGTTTTGAAATTACATCAGTGAAAAATAACACATGAACACACTAGTTTTGTAATATACCCATAAAAGTAAACATAGACAAGTAGGTTGGTAATAAAAATAGACCAATAAAAAAATAATTACACTAGATAAATGAGTTTTGTATTATAGCAGTAAAAAAGTAAAACTGAACAAGCTAGTTCTGTATTACAGCTCACATAAATAGCTATTCCTGTTCAGTGCTGCCCTCTAATAAACTAAAAGTTACACATTAAAATACGAAGGTAGAAATGCAGGGTATGTCTGCATACCGCACATAAAACTACAAGGAAGCTCTCAAGATAGTTCCTATAATGCTTCAAGTAAATAGTATTTCCCTCAACCATGCTTTCACCTTTTTAACCAATTATTTATACAATATTTATACAGTATTTGTACAATATTTATACATTATAAATGACATTTTTAATACATCTTACAAATAAAAAGAATCAAATATTTCTAACTGTTAACATTATCAATTCTAACCATGACTACATAGCAAACATCATTAATCCACACAAAACTCAACTGTTAACATTATCAATTTTAACCACGGCTACAAGCATGCATCTATAACCCATACAAAGTTCAATGTTCTAACTATGACAGGAAGATAATAATTACAAACAGCTATGGTTGTCAGTCATGTTGTGAACTGATTACATCTTACTGTAAAGGTCAAACAAAGCTCATAATGTCTAAAACAGTTTTAGTAATAGCTAGAAGTGATAATGATAGTAACCTAGGTTCAATGTAGCTTAAGATGCATACTAAATTATGTTGGTTAATGTACTTAAGCATTAATATAAAGCAGCTAGATCTCTATTACATGCTTAAAGCTAATAATCATGTATATTTTAGGTTTTTATCCTACAGAGTATGTCAGCCTTAAATTTGGTAATTTATTAAATCAAGGCTAAAGGTTATTGCTCTTTTAAAAAAAATAATAATCAAGGTTCATCAAAGCGTGAATATTAAAATAAATCAAGTTTGTTGGGATTAATGATGTTTGCTATGTAGTCATGGTTAGAATTGATAATGTTAACATTTCTGCTGTGTGTGGATTAATGATGTTTGGTGTGTAGACGTGGTTAGAACTGATAATGTTAACAGGTCAAGTTTGTTGAGATTAATGATGTTTGCTATGTAGTCATGGTTAGAATTGATAATGTTAACATTTCTGCTGTGTGTGGATTAATGATGTTTGGTGTGTAGACGTGGTTAGAACTGATAATGTTAACAGGTCAAGTTTGTTGAGATTAATGATGTTTGCTGTGTAGACGTGGTTAGAACTGATAATG